TGTGTGTGTGTGTGTAGTTCAAACTATATTTATAACTGGATTATATATTGCACAGTAATGATCACAACAAGCAGGTACTTGGTACATAATGTAATTTTTGATGTACCATATGTCAATACTTATTAAAAAAAAAAAGAATACCGCGCCTCTAAAGAGAGTTTCTTTCGCCTAATATAAAATCCGCTTTTACTAATATTCTATTTTATGTGATAGGAACGCAAGATTGTTGATATGCCATGGCATGAGCGAAATGGCGAAGGGACAGAAAAAGAAGTACCCTATTATCATGGACTACCGACGAAAAGAACGCCTATTAAAGGTAAGATCAATTACAGTGGGCAATTACTAATAGAATATAATTCCGTAGCTTGTGCACAGATAACTGTGGTGTTCGGTATGTATTGAAGAGATCTACAATCACAAGTTGCTTGAAAATTTGTCCTAAATAAGTCGGAATGTTCATGATACCGTCAAACGCGACGTTGATCAAAACATTAAAGCTAATAATTTATATAATACATTGGAATTGAGAAATATATATGTGATTAATATCGTAAGTCAAGATCTAATCTTGATAGTTACAAATTTTCTTGCAATATTGCAAACACCACAGCGATGCATTGGATTTTATCTGGATTCAAGAAGCGCACTTTCCGAGCCGACTTTCTGGCAATCACTTTATCGTGATCACGTGTCTAATTTTATTTTCCACAACACTACGTTTTACACAATTTAGGGTGATCAGCTAACTTCTGGACTAAATCTTATCATCGTGGAGTGCATTACTTGACAAAAAGTAATGACATATAAGATAATGTATATAAAGCATTTTGTGCTATTACTTACAACTGAGGTATATACAGAATGTAATAGAGTAATCGTATCAGACTGGTTTTTCAAAAAAATGTGTATTTTATTGAAAAATGTTTTAGATAAAAGTTGTAGAGTTTTAAGTAGCGCATTACATAGCATAGAATTAGTATGGTCTTGGATAGTGTTAAGATAACACAAAAATAACTTAGAAATTTTTTAATGAGAACCTTCGTTTTTTTTATTGCATATTATTTTAACTTCAAGAACTTTTTAAAGCTCTATAGTAAAAATATATTTTATTAGGTATTTTCCTAGTTATAAAGTTTGAAAGTTACAGTACAATCGACAATAGAGCATTGTCTAGAGATGTCCAACAGCTAAAACCTTTTGAATGTTGTTCGAGGTAATGACTTTACTGACATATCAATGATTATTAAAGGTTATTTCTCTTATGTTTATTTTTATTTTCATTTTTTATTGCAAAATTGAACATAAGAAAATGTAACCTCGATGTACGTGTTAAGATCATGACTTAAGGCGGAAATTCGGGCACGATTATGGAATGCGTGCGGAGAACCGCTGCGCACATAAATGAATTGGGTGCTGAAGTGAAATAATATTTTGGCTGGCAAACGACCTATTCAATATAAACAAAGCGCATAGCGTGCATCGCTCCGAATTTATGCTTTAGTCATGACCTTGAACAATAGTCATAAGATTTTAGCGTCGATTAGATTTTATCAGTCGGATATCTTGAACAATGTCGGCGATATTGTGTATTTTCAAGTATCATAACTTGGAAAGTACTTAATGAAAAATATCTTTCTCATAGTGTTTCAAAAAGCTCTCGAAGTCTTAAAATGCAAAAAATAAGGGTTTTATTTAAAATTTCAAAGTGACTTTTATATTATCTTAATAGCGCTATCCAAATCACACTAATATTGCTATGTAACCTGCCACTTAATCTTATAAATTTTGTTTGAAACATTTTTCAATGAAATGCATATTTTATTTTTCAAAAAACCAGATGATATGATTGCTTTGTTACACCTTGCACTATACATATTTATGTGTAAGTTTGGTGAAGTTATGCGAAGAAAGTTATTGCTATAATTTATATATTGAAAATGTGTTATCTTTTCAATATTATTTATTTAAAAAAACATTGTATTAATGTTTGTAAAATATACTGCAAATGCCTATTTTATATAAACTTGAATATATAATTATGTTACAAGTCATATTCGCTAGGAAAACTTTAAATCTGGGACATAACAGAAAATAAGCAATTGCAATATATTAGTATAAAAATATAATGTATTTTTATTTATCCGTGTGTGTGTATATATATATATACATATATATATTTATATGCATTATTATTTGTATCATGTATAGATGTTTCTGAGAAATAAAATTGATTCTTTCTTTCCTTTCCTCCCTTTTTGTTTTTGTACAGATCATCGTGGGAATATACAAGGAAATTTAATGTAATTGGCTATTTATATCGAATATCTTTTAATATATTATTTTTGTTTTCAGTAACATGAATGTGTCATGGCAGAATATAAGGTCATTCTTTATGAACTTATAATGTTTATCCGCTTCGAAGCTTAAATAGTGCTAACTGCAGACTTGTTTGATTATAGGGCTACAGTTCTTCAGTGCGGCAACAGCCTGGTACTGTAAACTTTGTGATTCCTGGATAGGCGATCTTCATTGTGCTAGTCTACATTTGAAGTCTAAACGTCATTCTGAGAATTTCTCTGTAAGTGATTTTTTTCATAGACTGCTTTAATAATAATTGGATTAGAGCAAAAGATTTATCTTATAAGATTGAAAACGTAATTATACTTATAAATTATTTTAAATAATTGTTATTAATCAAAATAGTTATTAAACAAAATTTTTTAATGAAATTTAGTAAAAAGATCATTTGCGTAATCTTTTTTTTTTTGCACCAATTCTATATGTCAGATACAAATAATTTAATTGAATAATATATTGTTTAGCGCTTTGTAGAGCAAAATCCACATTGGGAAACCGACTGGATGGCCGATAGAGAAAAGGCGTTCTCTGAAGATAAACACAAACAAATACAGTTGGAATTGCAGAAACAGAAGGATGACGATCCTCCGACAAAATCGAAAAAATCGAAGAAGAATAAAAAAAAATCAAAGAAAGCCAAGAAACGCAGAAATAGAAGCAGCGCTAGTGATACATCAAGTGAGTCAGAGAATTCTGATACAGAATCTGATCAAGATACTACCAAAAGTATACGTGTAGCCATGCGAAACAAGATTAAAGCATCTACGCAAGCGATTCTGAATGAGGAGATAGATTATCAACGTATAAAATTGAAAGGACATAACTGGTCGAAAGCACCACAAATGAATCAATCACCACTACCTGAGCAACATCCGTCAGAGGCGGATGACAGACAACTCTTGAATTCAATCAGAGACAAATTGAAAGCCAAACAAGAGGAGGAGATGAAAAGTCGCAAGCATCACGATAAGATAGAAGAAGAGGATTTACAGCAAGACACTTATTCAAAGAAATCGGAAGATTTGGAGGCTTGGGGTCCAAAGGAACCACCCAAACCTTTCTGGATAAAGAAAGAAGAAGAAAAGCAGTCACAGCCAATTGTGACAAATAAACCAATCGAATTACCGAAACCAGAAGAGATGCCGAAACCACACATGGGATTCTGGACTAAGCAACAAGTGAATATGACAGTAAAGCCGCCCGAAAATAAATCAATGGAGAAAGAAGACGAAAGAGACCGCGATAGGGATCGTTATAAAGATGATCGTGATCGCAAATACAGTAGATACGAGAGGAGAAGCCGGCGCGACAGAGATCGGGATAGGGACAGAGATAGGGATAGGGACCGTGATTACTATGACGATCGTCGAAAAAGGGATAGGGACAGAGACAGCAACGATTCTCCAAGACGTGATAGAAATTGGCGTGACAACAGTCCCAAAAGAAGCTACGACAAGTACAGTAAAGATAGACGGGGAGATAATGACAATTCATCGAATGATGAATCCAAATTTGACAAGAAATCAAGCGAGTCAAAGTTAAAGAAAGGTGTCATCTCGAGCAAGAAATCTGCGCCACAAGTAGCAACTAAGGGCAAGTTACCGTTCATCGGAAGATTACCTCTATTTAAGAAAAAAGCCGAAGAACCAAAGTTACCAGAGAAAGATATTACTCCGCTGCCCTATCAACAAAGCAAATTTGAGGACACGCCGAAGGTACCTAATGAAATTATCAATCCACCTGGTGTTGTACACATCACTAAATTAGCTACCCCAGTAAATTTGAATAACAGCAGCGTTACAACTTCACTGGTAAGCAAAACTAACAATCAGCCTATGAAGATTTTGGTGGCACCTCCGCCTCCTGTGCTGAACGAGACCAAGCCGACCCAACAAGTAGTTGATATGGAATTAGATGATCAGTCTGAGGAAACAGTTATAGAGGAGCAGCCGATAGTAGAGCCACAAAAACAGCAGCAGCAAACTTCGACCGTGTCGAAATTGCCGTTACCTTCGCATCCACCGCCACCACTGAATAGACCACCACCCAGTTTTACTCCGAGCCAACAACAACCAGCAGTGCAGAATAGACCGCCACCAGCGCAAAATACACTACCGACGCCGCATTTTACGCCAAATCGACCGCCTCCACCATTCATGTCAAATCCACCGCCTTTTGTTCAGGCACCACCAAGATTTCCACCTCGTCAAGCTGTTCCACCTGCTACTTTCATAACGCAGCCGCCACCGATACCAAATGCAAACTTCGTACAGAATCATCAAAATCCACCGCCGCCGCCGATGCCAACAGTAGTAGACTCGGGCGCTGTAGTGCCACCACATTCCGACGTGACTGAGATACCAGAACCGTCGGAGAAACGTTCGACAGACCCGAGCATTCCATTGCCGGATGATCTACAAGAAGCTCTTAATATAATCTTTCCTAAGGAGGAGACAGCGGAAACTAAACAGCAACAACAGAGCCAACAAGAATCTAACATCATGTACTCTTCAATGTACAGTATGTTGGGCTGCGTAGGATACGGCCCTGAATATATGGATCAACCACCACCTGAGATCATGCAAGAGGCAGAAGTGGATACACAACCCGGACCCGATGATCTTCGCATGCTGGGCATTGATGAGGGAGATACAATTTTGTAAATCACACTCGCGATCTATGAGTTTATATCGATGTATTATGGCGCTCCTGATTCACATACAGGAAAAGTTTTGTTCTGCAATAGAAAAGGTTGATCTATTGTTGATCCACTTATCATTCATTTCAATGTCTGATAGGTATTTTATCATTGACTATCTCTCATGTTTTGAAATCGAATGAGAAAAAAAGAAAAGTGACAAAAAAGAAAAGAAAAAAGAAGTAATTATGATAGATAATCTTGAAATATTGTGAATATAAAGCTAGCGCCATGAATTATGACTAAGTCTGGTACTAGCTTAAGCGGTCTGTAAAGATTACTTAACGATATACAGTAGAATTTACAAATTATCCGCTATATTATATTTGTTAACATCGTAACTGTCTTCGTTTTATAATATATTTTCATCAGTTTTGTTTTGGAATTTATGATAAAGTATTGCACAATCGATATCATTTAACATCAGCGACAGCAACGATTGATATATAATAGTTTTAAACTTTGTCTATCTTAAGGTTCCTAACTAATTATTGTGATCACATTGGGTCATTATCGATATTATAATCTAGAAATGACAAGAAGTTTCTTGCATGCCATTTGCAAATTAAGAGAATTGAATAAAACAAAATAATGAGAGATCACTTTGAAACACTTATATACAAATGGGCCAAAGCTATTCTTATCCTTTCTGACAATTTACATCAATAAATAGTCGTAATAAGCATATTAAGTGAAAATAGGCGCCTATTTTTTTTATGACTATTAACTGTCAGAAGGGATAAAGATAGCTTCGGCCCATTTTTGCAAAAGTTTTAACGTGATTTCATTATGTTTCATTTTGTTTTATCCTCTTTATTTACAAATGGCATGCAAAAAATTTCAACGTGTCATTTTTCGCTCATGACATTACGATCCAATATGACTGCAGCAATTAATCAGGAATCTTAACAAAAGTTATAAGCATTTGTTGAAAACTGATAAATCTGAATAACGTTATGGAATGTTACCAATGAATAAGTCAAAAAATAAGACCAGATATGTGTGTAATATCAATAAAAAACGCAATTCCACATCATGTATTAACATTGATATTGTATATCTTTGATAAAATCCGGAACTTCAGCTATATATGTACAATACACTTTCAAATGTAGAAGAAATATTTAAATTGAGTATTTATAATATAAAGATAATAGATTTGGAATGTAAAATCGTAACATTACGAAACATTTACACTGCGACATTTTTCGAGACATTTTTAAATCTTTTTTTTTATCATATGTTAAAAACAATTCTTTTTAATCTTTCTGTTTTAAATTCAATCTTACGATCGATTCCTAAAGGTAATATCACATTGCTTCTACTTTGCAAAGTTAACACATCATATCTATGAAATACAATATATTGCGAAATCGTTGAAAGTTGAAACTATCGTCAAATATAGGTCACATGGCACTATTTCTTAAAATTCTTAAATATCCAATTTTACTCAAGTTTTCAGTACTCAAGAAATCTCGATTTTAGATTTTTTTTTTTTTTTTTTTTGTAAAAACGCTTAATCTACCACAGCATTGATTAGCTTAATATAACATCAGAATGAACTTTTTTCGATTAAAATTAGTTTATAAATGCGAGAAATGCATAACAATGCAATGTTCATAAACATTGATTAGTACCAAATTGCTATCGATAATTGTATTAGGCAGAGCGTCACAATTCGATAAAACGCACTCGAGTGCATAAAAAAATTAAATCGTGCTTTATATAGTTCAGCGATGTGTAATTAATCCTACGTGTCCAATCTATCTTTTTCGCAGTCAAATGGAATGTAAAAACCAATGTATAGAATCTTACGTGCTACGAACATTATTAAAGATCTACTTTAGGATTTTTGTTCGTTATCTACGTAGACAATGGATGGGAAATATAATTCGTAATGCGAACACGGCGGTGTAGTATAACGATCCCGTCATTTCGATGAGTCCGTACTTTAGATCTGAAGTACTAGGCCTGCGCTGGAAATGTTATCTCCGCCACCTGCCGTCTGACTAGCTTGTGTGCAAACCAATACAGGAGCGATGCACACCTGAATAGAGATAGCCTCTTGCTCTACCTTTAATATCTCATCCCAACAAGATACTGGTTTATCGATGTTCAATGCTATTCGAGTACCGTCAACGATAGATGTCGAGAAACTATCATCCATGATCAGTGTCGCTTTGTTCACATCAACCTACATTAGAAGAAATAATTTTAAAATCATTGAACGCGCGTAGGACAGCACATTATGTGTCTGACAGTTTCTAACATTTCATTCGAAAGAAAATTGTAAATTTTATAACTATTTGAACCTATCAATATTAGTAATGATACATTTATGAATTGTTCTTTATACATATTGTTATTGTAAAAGTTATTTATATGTAAATAATACTTACATTACTCGATGCACATACGTGTCTATGTGCAGTAAGTGATGCTTTGGCTGCAGCAGCCATGGTATTCTTCCAAATGGAATCCTTGACGGTAAATATAGCTTGATACGCTAGCGTGTGAACGTGAATTCTCGTAAGCTCTCTAGAATTTGTGATAGACTTGCCTCTCAGACGTATGAGTTTGAACAGTGTTCTCATTTGATCTAACACTGTTGCGACACGCGGAGTCGAATTGGCCACCAACGAGATATTACCGTAATACATAGTATTGTACAAATTCGCTATTTCTTGTTCATTCATTCCCAAACTATCAGCGAAAGGAACTACCAGGTCACATAGTTCAAAGAGCAATTTATCCTCGGCAAATGAGGCCATCTCGAAGTGAATTCTAGTAGAGCTCGGACGATCTAACATCTGTCGCTTTACGTTCATTAACAGATTCTTGCGTTTGTCTGTAAAATTGCGTAAATGTAAAGAAATTATTTTATTTTGTATAATCATGAATATGCTCGAAGAAAAATTACCTTCTCGAAATGGATAATTATCCATCATTTGGAGACCGCTGACTACCAACAAATCGGGATCATATGTTCCCAGAACTTTGTCGAAGGCATTAAATGAACTAATCATTGGATTATTCACGTCGTTATGAACAATGTATCTAGAAAAAGACAAAAGAACTCAATTCTCCATCAGTTGATTACGTATTTATCTTATTACTGTCATTTCATTATCAATTTATCAGCACCTGTTTGCTCTTGCGCTGGAATAAGGACCCCACACTTCACCATGCTTATATTCCATGATAAGATGAATATCGTCACGTTTCACTTCCCCACCTACTATATTTATCACCTGTGGAATCATCTGATGTAAGGATCTGGTCATTTTAGCTGCAAGAGTTACATCACATCCCTCTCGCGCGAATCGCATCGCCATAACTGCTGCATTTCCTCCAATTGTTGAGTAAGACGACGGAAAGGAACGTGCTTTCGATACCAATTCATCGAATAAAGTTCTGTTTGCCATATAGCGTCTATGGAGAAAAATTTATGTCATTCTATACAAGATAGCTGTAATGATTACATGATTATAATGTATGATACAGAATGATTTAAAAATAATGTAATAAATCTTGACAATCATTTGAGAACATTTATAACTAAATGAAAAATTCATAATTGCTTAAAAAGTAATTGCGATTTTAATATGCATATTTATTCTATATTCTATGAGATGTTCAAATCTTAGCAGAATAATTTTGTGAATCAAATGGATTTCTAATATTATTAAATATTTTTTTATAACATAATTCATATTAAATGTAATTGTTAAAATTTCTGGTGAAAAAATTCATATCATCAAAAAATCATATTTTTAAGAATTTGTCATATTTAAAATTTATAAAAATTTCTGAAAAATAATTTTTTTTCAAATTTTATAAGTTTTCTCCAGAAATTAAAGAAAAATTTTAAGTGTTAGAATTCATAAATACGAAGAATTCAAAAGATATAGATTTCCTCAGCATTTTTAAAGTATTGCAATTCGTATAAAAAAATCTAAGAAATTTTCTAAAAAATTTATAAAATTATACAAAAATTTTGAAAAATTTTAAAACTTACACAAAAATTCTGAAAGATTATAGAAAGAACATTAAGAAAAATTTGTTCCATGATTTCATTAAATATAATTGATTTAAATAGATATAATTAATACTTAAAATAATATATTTTAATAATTATCATTAAGCAACGTATTTTCTGCTATGTATACTTCTGGGCTATCATATGTCAAAACAATGATAAAACTCAGATAAATCTTACTCGGCTGCAGCTCCATGACGAAAATAATAAGCGAAGCTCTTGAGTAGTTCAAGCTCAGTGTTGATCTCGTCAAAGTGTTCAGGTCGGCCGATCTCATCCGAATATCCTAGCAGATGTTTCGCGTCAATGAAGACATCGGTGCACACGCCATAACCTATAGCGACTTTTGGTTTTCTGGTAATGATATACTTGTTTTCAAGTGTCTCGAGGCCATGTAACAAGGTCAACAATCGTTTTTGCAGGATGTCGTCGGTATTGCGATAATAGATCGCCGCCAGCACGATTAGCACGGTGAGGAACGTCCCAAATCCTAACCTTCTCTTATACCCCATTGCTATAATCAACGCGAAGAAATGTTTCTGAATCCTAACCTTTTGTCGTACTTTCGTTCCCCAACCTGTCCTAGCTTCCTCCCTCCCAGATAAAACGTTAAACGCGCAAATGCCACACAATTGACCGCGAAATATGCATACGTGTACAAAAAGCATTATTGATTGTCTCGCCATTTGTGCGCGATGTTTTTCTTCCGATAAGACATATCGCATCTAAATTAAATATTTGTATACCATGATTATTATCAATAAGATTCACCAAATCATTGCTTTCAAAGTTACATATATTTTTTTAATTAAAGGAAAGTTAAGACAAAATTTTTTAAAATTTTGACATTTTTAAGTCATTTATTGAGCAATAGCATTGATATAAATCTTATGTGATAATATAATATATCAATTTAAAATATAAAATAAAAATATTTTCTTTACATAAAAATGTCTTTATTATAATAAAAAATCTTTAATATAATGAGAAATGTCTTTATTATAATGATAATACAAAAGTTTTATGATTTATTTAGAAAAAGATGATTTATAAATATTTTTATTATCTATATAAGTACATGCAATATGTAAAAAATAGTTTACGTCATAAAAATTTATTTACAATAAGTATAAAATTTAAAAACTTATTGTTAGGAATCAAACAGTCAGCATTCTATAATCTGCACAGAAAAAAATTTATATTTATATATTGCGCGATATATTACACATAAAAAAATTTTTTAAATATTAAAATACTTATACTATACAGAAATACTTATACTACACATAGAAAATTGCAATAATTACATATAAATATAATTAAAATAAAACGATATTCAAATATAAATTATGATATAAATATTTCTTGTGATATTTGGATTAAATTGGAAGAGCAACAAATATGTAAAAGAAAAAAATATTATGTACAATATTCTATGATTTGTATCCGTATAATTAATGCAATTGTTCAATTATCTCTGAAATCTTACAAAAGGTATATTAGGTCATTCGTACTATGTTTTTTTTTCAGAAATAGATAGTAATCAGAAGTTAATGAAAAAATTTTTCATTACCAAATTAAGCCTCTCTTTTAGACAAGAATTTATAAGAAATGATGTATTTTTTATGTTAACAATAAAAGATTTTAAAAACTTTTTTATTTAAAGATGTTTCATTTCAACAGACATATTTAATATCTTATTCATCTGGGTTTAAATAAAAAATTTAAAGTAAATTAAATTAAATGTATAATTTTCTAACTTCATTTCTAAAAACTTAAACTATCTAGTTCATAGTGTAGGATTTGAGCTTAAAAATTTTAATTTAAATGATAAAACTTTTGATGTCTGGTGAATAAATGAGTGACTCGAAATCTATGACATTTCCTTTTTTTTCTCGTAAATTATATAAGTGATAAAAAAAAAGTTAAACACAAATTATTTGTTTTTGGGAATACAATGTCTACTCAATCTATGTCTCTATTAAAAATTTCATATTTGACTCAGGTTTACTTTCGATAATTTCCAAAAAAACCAAAATGCCGCCATTTAGATAGATTGATAATAAAAAGGAGGATGTTGAAAGAGGCCGATTTTTGCCCATAAAGGTATAAGAAATAGTGATTTTGACTTCTTGAATACGATAACGTTAATAAAAAAATAATGATCAGAAATTGTGGAAAAAAGGAGGATATTAAAAAGAGGTTGATTTTTATCCATAAAGACGTAAGTAAAAGGAATAGTTTTCTATAGATTTTGACTTCCTGAATACGATAATGGTAATAAAAAGTTCGCAATAGGGAACATCTTGAAAATTGAGCATAAACATAAACAAAAAACACTATTTCTTTTACTTACATTCTTTTAGACAAAAATCGTATCTTTTTTATATTCTCCAAAAAAAGATAGATTTTTGCCTAAAAAGATATAAGTAAAAGAAATAATATTTTTCGTAGATTTTTTTGATTTCCTGAATATGATAAAATTATTAAAAGTTCGTGGCACTTGAGGAACATCTTGAAAAGTAAATAAGAATATTGAAATATATCATATTTATGCTCAATTTTCAAGGTGTTCCTTATCGATTCCGAACTTTTTATTAATATTATCATATTCAGGAAGTCAAAATTTATAAAAAACACTATTCCTTTCACTTACACCTTTATGAAAAAAAAATCGGCCTCTTTTTAACAACCTCCTTTTTCCATATTTCCGATCACTATCCGTTTTTAAGAAAAAAGGGTCGTACGGTGATCTAATATACCCTGTATATAACTTTATCTTGTGTTGGCAATATTTCTTGTTTTTCTGATATCTCTCTTTCTTCATCAGCTTTATTTTTTCCATGTGATTGCTTCATATGCTTCTTAGAAAGCTAAACGTTTTATTGCACAGCTTGCAATGGAGAATCTGTTTCGCTTTATCAGGAATTTATATAGAATTAGTAATTTGGCAAAACAAAAATAATTATACTTGTATTATTTCGTATTTAATATTAGTATCTATATATAGCATTCATTCAAAAGAAAGACAGATTGAGTTATACATTAAAAGAATCTAATAATATTCATCCATGCCGATTGCTGTAGTTAGTAATTTTTTGATTAGCTCTAATATTCCATTCAGATGTATTAATATCTTGTCTCAAAAAAACAAGATATTAATTCGCCAAGAGTCATATTTCTTTTATTCCTTATTTTTCGTATGGAGGCGCATATGCTTTTTTAAATTATCTAGTCGATTGCATCGGCGATCGCAGTAATCACACTTGTAAGGCATCAAATTGCTATGCACTACCACGTGGCCATTTAGATGACTAATCTGCTTAAAGCGCTTGCCGCAGATGGTGCAGGTATACGGACGCTCGTTCATGTGCGCTGACGAGATGTGCGTCTGCAGATTCGTCTTCCTGACAAATGTCGCCTTGCATACATCACACTCGAATGGCCGTACATTCGCGTGGATTGCCAGGTGTGACTTGAGTACATTCTTATGCTTGAAGTTCTTTTCGCATAAATGACACTGAAACGGTCGTTCGTCGTTATGTACCTTTTTGTGCACCGACAGATGTGCCAATTGCTTGAACATCTTGGCACAAATCTCACACTGATATGTACGACCATCTTCATGCGCGGCACTGACATGACGGCGCAAAGTGTCCGCCAGAGTATACCGTTTACCGCAGATCTTGCAGCAGTACGGACGTTCGTTGGTATGCGTCAGCAAGTGGCCGTTAAGGTTGCGCTTCTCAAGGAAACGTGCACCGCAAACATCGCACTGATATGGCTTTTCACCATTGTGCACGTACATGTGCTTCTTCAACGAGTTTGACAGACTGAAACGTTTTGAACATATGGTGCACTGAAAACGACGCTCGCCAGTATGTACCAACATGTGTGACTTGACATGACCAGCTTGCTTGAATCGCTTGCCGCACACCTTACAGTCATAATGACGTTCCTGCGTGTGCGTGAATATATGTCGCTCTAGCACACTCTTCATTGTGAATACCTTTTTGCAGATATCACATTCAAACAGACGATAAACATCGCGTACCTTTGATGTCGTTGTCGTGGCGTCGCTTTTATGCGAGGGTGTATGTTGCTTCAGCAAATCTAGCGAGTCGAACTTTATGCTGCATACTGTGCACTGGAATGAACGATAGTCATGATGGGTCAGTGAGTGTTGACTGAGATGACCCAGTTGTTTAAAACTCTTTTTACATACTTCGCATTCGTACGGTCGTTCATTTGTGTGCGATCGCATATGTCTTTCTAGCACGCTCGGAAAACTGAATTTCTGCTTACAAAACGTACACTTTAGAGGTTGTGTCTTTGATACACGATTCTCCGCGGGCAGTTTCCGTCTCCCGGTTTGGTTGGAGCTCTTATTGTCTTTGCCAAAGGATTCTCTCGTATCAAGCGACAAATCACAATTTTCATTCATTTTGAGATCGGACGTTTCTTGTGTTAGTTGAATCATAGATCTTGTATTAGCAATGTTTCTTGTTTTTCTGATTGGTATCTCTCTTTCTTCAGCTTTATCTTTTCCATGTGATTGCTTCATATGTTTCTCAAACAATCTCAGAACGCTAAACGTTTTATTGCACAGCTTACAATGGAGAATCTGTTTCGCTTTGTGAATTCTTATGTGGTTTTTCAAATGCCCTATTTTCATATATTGCTTTTGACAGTACTCGCATTTGAGGGATTGAGTATCTTCTTTTGATTCATTCTTTATGACTATTTTATCGGTAGATGTTGAATCCATCATATGTACATTATTCAGATCATCATTCTTCACGATACAACTAAGAATATTTGCATTGTTGGTTTTTGTATTTTGATTCTGTGTATCTCGTATATTTTCGTTTTCTTCGCACTGCTGAAACATTCAAAATAGAACAATTTCAATCATTATATTATGTTTATAATATTGAGATACAACATTATACATTATATTGCATTATTACATTGATATTATTTGATGTACTCTGTGTGTCTTCCATCATTGCAGCCTCACCTCCATCCATCTTATCCGACAAATGTTTAATCCATTCTTCTTCTGTTGTCAAATTTTCTGTATCTTTTCCTATACCTTGAAAATTCTTGCGTGCATTTTGTCTGAACAATACGTCATATGGAACTCTGCCATTCTGATAGCGATACGTAGTGTTATGAACAATCTGTATGAAGTTCAGTCCCTCGCACCAGGTTCTAGTTGGATTTTTTTTCATCCAAGATTCAAGTGAGCTCTTAAAATCCCTGTAGCTAACTTCGCACTTAGACGTGTCTCCATGCAGTATGAATAAATCATGCCACATCGAACGTAGTTCACATACAATTTGTTCAGCAAACATACGTCCATTGCCGCTCTGTAATACTTGTGGTGCTCCTATGATCCCCAATACATCTAATAGATTCGCCGCAACCTCTTTAGCTGTATTGCTACGGAGAGCCTTTAGTACAACAAATTTGGAAAATTGATCTTCATAAACAAAAAAATATTTATAAT